TGTTATAAATATATTCTAATATTTAGTCTACTTCGCAGGATGCTGGCGATCCTCGCAGACGGAAGGGCGAAGCTCCTGTGACAAGTGCACCCGAGTGTCAGCCCCGAGACTGCCCGGCACCAAATTCTGTTGCTGCACCAACACTTACTGTAACGCTGACTTCTGTAAGTAAATATCACGCTACTGTTTAACAAGGTACCTCGAATAATTTCCAGTCACGCTCGGGGCCCATATTCACTAGATTCATTGCGTAACAAACCACCGGCGAGGCGATTTAACTTTGACATCGGGCAGCTAAAACTAACTAGGAATAATAAATAAATATTTATTCATTATAAAAATGGCCATATATTACTTTAAAGCATTTTTTAAAATTCTTTATCAAATCCGAAACCAAAACTCAACAGTCGCGCTTCACGTTTGCTATTTGACTGAACAAGACAATTGCATCTATTCATTTAATGTCGTTGTATTTATTACCAATACTTCTAACTTACTGGTGACTGGGTGTTGGAGCAAAAACTCTTTTGCGTCACCTCATTCATGAAGTTTATTATTATAATATTTTTTATGTTCCAAATTTGATATTTTTTTCTTTATCTTTTGTTTTTTCTTCCCATTGAATACATGCGTTCTATCCGTCAACAAATCTTTATTTTCTCTTTATAACATCTTATATAAAAACCCTTGAAATTATTATTATTATTACGCCTGGACTCTCAAACACTGGGCACGGGCAGCTGGCTGCGGTGCAACGTGTAATGGGTTCCGTTCCTGCTCGGAGCAACTCTTTGTGTCATCCACAAATTGTTGTTTCGAGTCTTTTTTTTTTGAGAGGAAACATCATCCAATGATTTCTCCCACCCGGTTGAGGCGAGAGGGAGTGTCAGACTCATACTGGCTACAAACCTCACTGTTCCTACTCCTGCAGTTCGAGCCGGAACCCCGGTAACCCGTTAAGCCCTTGCGTTGTGTTTCGTCGTGTGAGTGAGGTTACCGGAGGCCCAATTACCCCCTCCCTAGTCCCCGTCTCCCGAATCCCCGAATCCTCCACAATCCTCAAATTCCCAATTCCCAAAAGGCCGGTAACGCACTTGTAACGCCTTGGTGTTTCGAGTGTCCATGGGCTACGCCGATTGCTTACCATCAGGTGATCCGTCTGCACGTTTACCGGCTTATGCTATAAATAAAAGCCCTCCGCGACTCCGTATGTTGATTTGTTTCGATTCTAGGTGTCATTTGTATGTGAACTTGTATGTTTGTAAACGCACCCACGACACGAGAAAATCCTAGTATCCTATATCTATCCCGGCATCGCGGAGAACCTAACGGGTAACCGGGGCTCCGACTCGACGTGCAGAAGGAACGGGGTGGTTTTTAGTCAGTAAGAGTCTGACACTCCCTCCCGCCTCACCCAGGCGGGAGCAGTTATTCGATGATTTTCCCCCCTTAAAAAAAAAATATATCTATCCCGGTAATGTTTGAAAAAAAACCGTAAAGAGATATACAAACAGACTTACTTCTTTTGTATATATATTTTTAATTTCGTCACCAGTATCCCTCAAAGAAGAGACGGTAACAATGAAAGCTGAATCGACAATGGACAGCGGTGCCCAAAGTATGGTGGCGGCGTCCAACATACTCGCCTCGTCCGTGCTGGCGCTAGTAGCTATACTAGTACTCGCGCTACTACTCACCAAGTTCTACTGCCGGTCCAGCAGGCCGCATAGTGATACCGACACACTTAATGTTGAGAAAGGTAAGATTTTAACTTAAATATAAACATATATGAAGGGTCTAGGCGTTTCAGGTAAACTAATCTTAAAGACTGCCTCTATAGTCTAGTGATCGCAGGTGCAACTGCCAGGCAAGGGGTCTCTGGTTCAATGTCGGGCGAAGAATTACTGTTTTTTTTTTTTAATTCTCAGTAGTAGCATGGAGTCTGGAGTTGTGCCCGGTATATGGCAATAGGCTCACCCCCTATTACATGGGACTCATAACATAAATAGTCAAAAGTGGGTGTTACATTGTACAGTGGTATTAAGTGCCGCAGGTAATGTGCACCTACTCCTTCGGGGACCAAAGGCGTGATGTTATGTTAATTTTAAAGTAAAATAAACTATGTATTAAAAAAAAACCGTCTTTCACAATTATCATTAAACAGACCAACATCTTCGCTCATCAAGTGTCCGCCATCTTCTATAATCTCAATCATATACTTTCATTCCGTCCGTTCGGATTCATTCGCACAACATTCTATTTTACTTCACCAAGTAATCGGATACACACATACAATCCCACATACATACATAGACTATGGAACGCTAATTGCTACGATTCTTACATACCTCTTTCGCTTCATCAACAGATATTAGCGTTAACTAAAATCGCGGGTTACTCACGTGAATATACTGAGAAAAGCTCTACTAGTTTCGAACCACAGAGGGGTGAGCAGCGTCCTCATGAGCAGCTTGCGCGGTCGCGGCAACGTCGCGCAGCTCACTGAGCTCAGTGGTAGTAGCAGCACTAGTAGAGCTTTTCTCAGTATATTCATACAGTGAGTAACCCGCGATTTTATTTAATTTAGTATGTCTCACGATAGTTATTATAAAAATATATTAGCGTTAATAAAATATAAACTAAAATTCATATTCGAAGTGCGACTGCTGGGCAAGGGATCTCGGGTTCGATTCCCGGGTCGGGCAAAGTAATACTGGGTTTTAAAAATCTCAGTAGTAGCACGGAGTCTGGACATGTGCTCGGTATATGGCAATAGGCTCACCCCCTATTACATGGGACTCATAACATAAATAGTGAACAAGTGGGTGTTACATTGTATAGTGGCATAAAGTGCCGTAATGTGCGCCTCTGCCTACCCCTTCGGGGATAAAAGGCGTGATGTTATGTTATGCTAAAATTCAAAATAAATATAATAAAAAAACTTACTTACTTCAGATCCTTTCTTTATTTGTAGGCGTTAATATGCTAAGCCCTGCTCTTACTTGTAACAAATACTTAATAAAACTGCACTAAGTGTGGGAGAGCCATGCTTCGGCACGAATGGGCCGGCTCGACCGGACTAATACCTGGCCGAGCAGAAAACCGACGTGAAGCAACGCTTGCGTTGTGTTTCATCGTGTGAGTTTACCAGAGGCCCAATTACCCCTTCCCCAATCCCTGAATCCCCAATAATCATCAAATTCCTAAACCCAAAAGGCCGGCAACGCACTTGCAACGCCTCTGGTGTTCCAGGTGTCCATGTGCGGCGCCGATTGCTTACCATCAGGTGATCCGTCTGCTCGTTTACCGTCTTATAAAAAATCAGAATCGGTTCAGGCAATCCCGAGATTAGCGTGGACAAACATCCCATATGGGTCAAAATGAGAATCTACTTAATTTTCTTTTTTTTTTGAATTCTGTTTATACCAGCCGTGATACAGCAGTAATGATTAAACTTTGTTAGCTACTGATGTACAGTTTCACTCGCTGCTCGCCTCCTATCAGTCGTAGCGTGATGATTTCATGGGGTTCCTCGATAAATAGGCTATCCGACACAAAAATAACTATTCAATTAAGACCAGTAGTTCTGAAGAGTAGCGCTAACAAACAAACAGAAATTAAGGGATCGTGGTTAGGAGGATCCCTAATTGAGCACTGCCTCTTCTGGTCGTGGGGTGCAGGGGGTTGAGAGAAACAACGGTGTTCGGATACCGGATATATTCACGTAAACCCCCAGATAGAACCGTTCACTCGGACCAGTGCGCAGTTACTGTCCGTGCCTCGCATACTTCACGCTCTCACAGGTTTTTGCTTGCCTTGCACTCTGCCATACATACTTACATGTGTCCCTACAGACATATTCTCGTATTCAATTTTATAATAAGTAATCGATAACATAACATAACATCACGGCTTTTTATTCCCGAAGGGGTAGGCAGAGGTGCACATTTCGGCACTTAATGCCACTGTCCAATGTAACACCCACTTTTCACTATTTATGTTATAAGTCCCATGTAATAGGGGGTGAGCCTATTGCCATATACCGGGCACATTTAAGTAATCGATATCAACTTTATATATATTTGCCCTGTTTACAGGAGATGTCATGGGCAGTGGTCCTGATGCGTTAGCGACGGGGCTGTCCTGCGTCGATAACTTAACGCTTATTGAACACATTGGTAAGTTTTTAAGAAATCGAAACGAGACCCCAGGCGGCGCTCTGATTGGTTGGTTTATTGGTTGGGCAATCAGAGCGTCGAATGCGGTCTCGTTTCGATTATTGTATACGTAAAACAGACACATACTAAGGCCTCTGATATATAAGATCACTGTACACCGTGAATCTGTATCAATATAGGAAATAGTAGCCATTGGTTAGCTACTGAGTCGACCAATGGTTACAGAAGTATTCAGGCTTCGTTGGTAAAGCTGTGGGAGAGCCATACTTCGGTACGAATGGACTGGAATGATTACACGGCCTCACAGAAAACTGACGTGAAACGACCCTTGTGTTGTTTTTCGTCTTGTAAGTGGGTTCACCGTAGCCCCCCCCCCACCCCCCGCTTTCACAATCCCTGAATCCCCAACTATTCTCAAATTCGTAATCCTTAAAAGGTGTCCCAGGTGTCCATGAGCGACGCCGATCCGATTGCTTACCATCAGGTGATCCGTCAGCTCGTTCACCGGCTTATCCCATAAAAATAGTGTAATAATAACCACTGCCTTTATACTGAAATCATTTTTATTTTCTTTTTGCTGACAGTACATTTCTATCATCAAAAATATTAGATTTCTTATAATTTACTATAATAACTTGTCTACGAAATCTAAAAAATATTTTTCCAGGTCAAGGCAAGTTCGGCTCAGTCTGGCGTGGCAGTCTAGGTTCGGTTCCCGTTGCAGTCAAGTTGTATTCTAACACGAGTACGTGGCAGAGAGAGGCAGCGATATACGCATTGCCGCATCTCGCTCATCCAAATATACTGAGATATTATGGTAAGTTAACCTTAATTTTTTTAAAGGGGGATAATCATCGAATGACTTCTCCCGCCTGGGTGAGGCGGGAGGGAGTGTCAGACTCTTACTGACTAAAAACCACCCCGTTTCTACTCCTGCACTTCGAGCCGGAGCCCCGGTAACTCGTTAAGTGCTCCGCGGCTCCGTATCGGCATCAGCTCTATTGGGCCCCATCCGTGGTAGTCTGATGGCTCCTTGAGGCGCGCGCAGAACGCGAGGCGCCGTACGCTCGGGTCTGGTTCTGGTCGGGCGGCGAGCCACCCCTCCTCGCCGTCCGCAGGCCCGCGCTTACGGTGGCCAGAGATCGTCCCGGGATCCCTGATGCCCAGAGTGTCCTTCCCGATGGCTGGGTTGTGAGGCAGCGCTTTGCTGCCTCATGCGTCCCGCCTCCTCCTTAGCTAGCATTTGCAAAAGGAGGAGACGGCACCCCAGTCCCCTTCGCTCCGCACTAGGGCCGGACGCGAGAGGTCGCCGTCGCCGATCATCTCCCGGGCACGGCGGTGCTCAGCCCACGCAGGGCATTCACCAACTGTGTGTTCCACCGTGGAAAGATAACAAAAACAATTCCAAAGATATTACAAGATAAATCTTGTAATATCATTACAAGATAAATCTTGTAATATCTTTAGTCGTGCTCGAAGCAGGGGTAGAACCGGGGTGGTTTTCAGTCAATAAGAGTCAGAGAGACCTAGGGTTGGAGGACTCAAAGTACCTATTCATGCAAATAAAATATTCAAAATCAAAGCATTAATTTCAATTAAACCATAGTTTGGTACTTTAGAAACGTCAACAAACACAAAATAATAGTCTGCCAGTCTGTCCGTCAGTGGCACACGTTCCAAAATGTAGATTGGAATGGAGAAGAACGAGCAAAAAACTCCATTCGTTACCTTTTTAAAAAATATATGTTTTAAAATCTCTCTATGACATTATGCAACAATGTGTACATATATGTGAGAACAATGTAAAGACATAGTTGACGCATAATACAAATTACAAAACTTACTAAAAAAAAAAAGATAATATCTTATAGTCTAACATGGTGCATTGCTATTATTATACGCAGGCAGCGACAGTCGCGCCACGCTAACAGGCGGCGGAGGTCGTTCGGAGCTGGTAGTGCTGGAACTATGCGCCGGTCCGCTCCGCTCTCGGCTGACGGCCGCCCCCCTCAGTTGGAGGGAATTTGCGCATCTAGCGCATGGACTAGCCGCCGCATTAGCGCATCTACATACGCCTAGTAAGTTTATTTTATGTTTTAGAAGAGGTTTATGAATAAAAGCAGTTAAAAATACTGAAGTCAGTCAAAAAAGAAAAAAAAACATCGTAAACTGTTATAGACTTTGCTCATGTCATTTGTCTTAGTCATGTAATTAAAGAATTATGATCATTTTTTTTTATAGTTAAAATGACATTGTCCAATCCAAATTACAATTAGTTTACTAATAATAGTACTTTCAAACAACAGTTTGCGCAACAGTTGCGCTAAAATGTACAATTTGCGCAACATTTGCGCTAAACTGTACGATTTGCGCAAAGATATATAATTATACAAATATAGTAATATGAAATCCTGTGTAGCTGGTAGCAAGCCTTGCGTAGTACATCGCGACGTGAACAGTAGCAACGTGCTAGTGACGGCCGGGGGCGACGCTCGCCTCGCAGACCTCGGCCTTGCGCAGCTATTGCACGCTGCAAGGGACCGGGCAGCGCCTACGAGGATTACTGAGGTAAATATATACATAAATATACTGCCTCATTGGCCGAGTGGTCGCAAGTGTGACTGCCGGGCAAGGTGTCTCGGGTTCGATTCCCGGGTCCCGGTAGCACGGAGTCTGGAAATGTGCCCGGTATATGGCAATAGACTCACCCCCTATTACATGGGACTCATAACATAAATAGTGAAAAGTGGGTGTTACATTGTACAGTGCCATAATGTGCACCTTTGCCTACCCCTTCGAGGATAAAAGCGTGATGTTATGTTATCTATACATATAATAAATCTGTAAAAAAGGAATTCTTGTACATTGAAGAAATTGACAAAAAAATAGCCAGCGTGTTAAAGGATAACTAACAGATCCCATTTCCATCAAATGATGGAAATGGGATCTCCCATTTCCATCATTTTTGACATTTTTGTCTGTTTGTCTGTTTATATGTTTGTTTGTGCGCGCATCACGTAAAATCAACGAATGTAATGCAGACATTGCTTATATACAAAAATTTTACGCAACTTGAGGTATAACTTAGTTTTTGTTTCATCGAAATCGGTTCACTCTATCAGAAGATATGATTAATTTAGTGAGTTCAAGAAGTAAAATATTATAACACGCAATTCAGTATAGTACTTGCAGCGACACCTTAAGGCTAAAAATAGAACTAACGTTGATAGTTGAAATCTTTACCCGATAGATGGCGTTGTGCAGAATTCTTTTTGAAGTGAAAACTTCTTTAGCGGCGGTGTACACTTTTTTTGTAATGGGTAGTCACAAAAACGTCAGGAAACGTGACCCTGATCCAAAATTCGTAGAACGGATTGACAGCTGGCGTGGCGTAGGACAGGGAGTATCCCCCTCTCTTTCTACGGCGCGACGAAAATATACGCCTGCGCCGGCTGCTTCGTTTAGGCGGCGCAGGGCGCTTGCGCGAATATTCGTGTGTTTGTGTTTAACTGATATACTAATAATGAATTTGGTTTAACTATGTCAATAGCTTCTGTTATCTAAACGAGGTTGTTCTGTTTTCAACAACCACGCGAATGCAGTCGCGGGCACAGCTAGTAATTAATAAAATGACTGCATTTTATTCCTTTCCCCTACCCCTCTCTCACGCTCCTCTGCCCTCTTTCCCACTCCCCTACCCCTATCTCCTTGGGCTCGCTGCCATCGCAGCGGTAAGTCCCCTCTTTGAGGAGTGGCTTGAGAGACGCTACGGCGTCCTCACCTACCGCCTGACGCAGGTCCTCACCGGACATGGAAGTTTCGGGAGGTACCTGTGTCTGATGGGGCGGGAGGAAACGCCCGGGTGTCATCACTGCGAGGACCGCCCTGAGGACACGGTGGAACACACGGTGGGAGAATGCCCTTCGTGGGCTGAGCACCGCCGTGTCCTCAGGGAAGTGATCGGCGATGGCGACCTCTCGCGTCCGGGCCTAGTGCAGGCCATGATGCGGAGCGAGGGGGATTGGGATGCCGTCTCCTCCTTTTGCGAAGCAGTCATGCTAGCTAAGGAGGAGGCGGGACGCGTGAGGCAGCGAAGCGCTGCCTCCTCGCAACCCAGCCATCGCGAAGGACACACCGGGCGTCGGGGATCGCGGGACGATCTCCGGCCACCGTAAGCGCGGGCCTGCGGACGGCGAGCATGGGTGGCTCCCCGTCCGACCAGAAACAGACCCGAGCGTACGGCGCGTCGCGTTCCGCGCGCGCCTCAAAGAGCCATCAGACCACCACAGATGGGGCCCAATAGGGCCGATGCCGATTCGGAGTCGCGGAGAACCTAACGGGTAACCGGGGCTCCGGCTCGACGTGCAGGAGAAGGAACGGGGTGGTTTTTAGTCAGTAAGAGTCTGACACTCCCTCCCGCCTCACCCAGGCGGGGGCAGTCATTCGATGATTTTCCCCCCTTAAAAAAAAAAAAAAATCTGTTCTCTTACAAGTTGCTACACAATGCGCACGCCGGGCCCGCCCCGCCCTACGCCCCGCCCTACCTGCACCACGGCCTGCCGCCGCGACCCACGCTCGCGCAGATGCAGGTCTGTTCTCTTACAAGTTGCTACACAATGCGCACGCCGGGCCCGCCCCGCCCTACGCCCCGCCCTACCTGCACCACGGCCTGCCGCCGCGACCCACGCTCGCGCAGATGCAGGTCTGTTCTCTTACAAGTTGCTACACAATGCGCACGCCGGGCCCGCCCCGCCCTACGCCCCGCCCTACCTGCACCACGGCCTGCCGCCGCGACCCACGCTCGCGCAGATGCAGGTCTGTTCTCTTACAAGTTGCTACACAATGCGCACGCCGGGCCCGCCCCGCCCTACGCCCCGCCCTACCTGCACCACGGCCTGCCGCCGCGACCCACGCTCGCGCAGATGCAGGTCTGTTCTCTTACAAGTTGCTACACAATGCGCACGCCGGGCCCGCCCCGCCCTACGCCCCGCCCTACCTGCACCACGGCCTGCCGCCGCGACCCACGCTCGCGCAGATGCAGGTCTGTTCTCTTACAAGTTGCTACACAATGCGCACGCCGGGCCCGCCCCGCCCTACGCCCCGCCCTACCTGCACCACGGCCTGCCGCCGCGACCCACGCTCGCGCAGATGCAGGTCTGTTCTCTTACAAGTTGCTACACAATGCGCACGCCGGGCCCGCCCCGCCCTACGCCCCGCCCTACCTGCACCACGGCCTGCCGCCGCGACCCACGCTCGCGCAGATGCAGGTCTGTTCTCTTACAAGTTGCTACACAATGCGCACGCCGGGCCCGCCCCGCCCTACGCCCCGCCCTACCTGCACCACGGCCTGCCGCCGCGACCCACGCTCGCGCAGATGCAGGTCTGTTCTCTTACAAGTTGCTACACAATGCGCACGCCGGGCCCGCCCCGCCCTACGCCCCGCCCTACCTGCACCACGGCCTGCCGCCGCGACCCACGCTCGCGCAGATGCAGGTCTGTTCTCTTACAAGTTGCTACACAATGCGCACGCCGGGCCCGCCCCGCCCTACGCCCCGCCCTACCTGCACCACGGCCTGCCGCCGCGACCCACGCTCGCGCAGATGCAGGTCTGTTCTCTTACAAGTTGCTACACAATGCGCACGCCGGGCCCGCCCCGCCCTACGCCCCGCCCTACCTGCACCACGGCCTGCCGCCGCGACCCACGCTCGCGCAGATGCAGGTCTGTTCTCTTACAAGTTGCTACACAATGCGCACGCCGGGCCCGCCCCGCCCTACGCCCCGCCCTACCTGCACCACGGCCTGCCGCCGCGACCCACGCTCGCGCAGATGCAGGTCTGTTCTCTTACAAGTTGCTACACAATGCGCACGCCGGGCCCGCCCCGCCCTACGCCCCGCCCTACCTGCACCACGGCCTGCCGCCGCGACCCACGCTCGCGCAGATGCAGGTCTGTTCTCTTACAAGTTGCTACACAATGCGCACGCCGGGCCCGCCCCGCCCTACGCCCCGCCCTACCTGCACCACGGCCTGCCGCCGCGACCCACGCTCGCGCAGATGCAGGTCTGTTCTCTTACAAGTTGCTACACAATGCGCACGCCGGGCCCGCCCCGCCCTACGCCCCGCCCTACCTGCACCACGGCCTGCCGCCGCGACCCACGCTCGCGCAGATGCAGGTCTGTTCTCTTACAAGTTGCTACAAAATGGCAAATGAAAAGGTTTTCGGAACAAAATCGTTGAAGAAGTACTTTAAATAATAATTAAAGGTCACTGAATACAGCAATAAAACTTATTTTAAAACGTGTGATGCGGATAGTCATACCGGCACCAACAAGTTTCATAGGAATTTGACCTGTACGGCATACGATGGTCTTAAGGCTCAGCGTAACACAGAGGTGAAACGAGCGAATACAAATGAGAACTGAGAATAAAAATGAAAAGGGAGAAATGAGGTAGCACTGGAGTTGTTATTCGTATGCGGGTGGAAGACACACTGTGCGGCGGTTCTCGGCGATCACGTGGGCCAGCTCGCATGCACGCGGCGCGCGTCGGCTCGGTCGTTCAAGGTCTTCGTCGCCGACTCCCGTACAAATAACATGTACTCGGCGCATGCGTCGCTGCGCGTGGAAGTGTAGTGGGCGTCGACCACCACCTCACCTGATCTAAGGCCACGGTACAAAATCATAAGCGATGGTGATTTTGTTCAAATTGTAAGGTGGTGGTCCAAGTGATAATCCGCTACAAACGAAACAACGAAGATAAAAGATAATGTAATAACAATAACAATCATTTCTTTGGATTTGTCATCTTATCATAATTAATTTATTAACGAATTCCTTCATTAAACCTACAGAATATCGCTCACCCACCACCTATTACACGGGACTCATAACATACATTGTGTAAAGTGGGTGTTACATTGTACAATGGCATTAAGTGCAGTAATGAGCACCTCTGCCTACCCCTTCGAGGATAAAGGTTATATGTTATGTACAATATGGTTATTTTGAAAACTGTAGAATAGAGGCAAGTTAATTTTAATCTTAGTTCAGATTTGACAGAATGGCAAGTTTTTAAGACAGCCATTTTTAATCATAATCGCAAGATTTTAACTCACTTTTATGATGAAAGCATCGATTTGTCTTGCTATAATAATTAAAACTATATCTCCTTCTACACAGAGCTTAGTATCCCGCAACAAGGCTCGGCCCCCACTACCAAAGGGGCCAGTGCAACAATCCCGAGCGTTGAAGATCGCAGCTGATACCTGTGACGAATGCTGGGATCATGATGCTGAGGCTAGGTACGGTTTTGAACTAAATAACTACATAATTGTGTTTTCATTATTATTTCTTAGTTAGTAATGACCAGTGATCGGAAAAAGGTGAGTTAGCTCACCTTTTTCCGATCACTTTACCTAAACTTCAAGGAACAAAAAAAAAGTGGAGACTACCTTACTACAACATTTTTTTCGGGAAAGTTCCGGTTCCAGTTTCGGGATATTTATATATTACATTTAATATAATTGTTATTATTACAGAAAACAATTGATTTCGTTTCGTGATTTTATTTCTTAAATTTAACACAAAACCAAACAAAATTAAAACTTTTATTATTGTTTTCAACAATAAATATTTTAAGATGTAAGAAAGAGCATAAAATAAAATTATTCAACACCAAAAGTATGTTATTAATAACAAAAGCTAGAAAGAAACCGCAACTTTTGTCACGATTTTAGGTTTTTGTTAATTTTGGTGTTGAATAATTTTATTTTATAGTTGACGCTAAAATAAACATGACGTCACAATACCTCGTGTATTCATAAGTTTTGAGACAAATTAAAAGTTGCATATCTTTTTAAATAATAAACTTATATTTATAAAAACAATAACAAACATTAAGTAGATAGTAAGTAAAAATTAAATATAATTATTATTCAAAATGACCACCCCTGTTTTTAATACATGCCCTTAGACGATTTGGCCAGTCATCAATGGCGGCACGAATCTTTTCCAGAGGAATTCGCTTCGCTTCTCGGACAAGAGCTCGCTTAAGTGACTCCAAGTTTGGGTGGGACTTTCGGCAGGCTCTGAGCTCTAATTCGGTCCATAGAGAATAATCCAGCGGGTTGAGGTCGGGGCTGGAGGAGGGCCATTCGTTCGCCGCAATGAAGGCCGGCACATTTTCCTTCAGCCAAGCTTGGGTGGTTTTAGCCTTATGGGATGGCGCCGAGTCTTGCTGGAAAACCCAATACTTGTTATGGAATAGGGTATTAGACAGGGGTTTCACAACAGTCTCTAGAATGTCACTTTGATAATTTTTGGCTTTCACCTTGACGCCTTGTTGGCAGAAATGAAGCTGAGTGACACCTTCGTACGAAACTCCCCACCATACCATGACACTAGCCGGATGATGAGTACGCGAGACATTCCGTGCTGAAGGTGGGACATCCTTGCTACTTTTGGCATACACTTTATTGTTTTGTCGATTGAACTTTTCTTCGACGGTAAAGATTTTCTCGTCGGTGAAGAGTATCTTCCTCGCATCGTGTCTCCTAAGCAGTATTGCACAACGTTCGCGTCGCAATTGACGGCTCACACCAAAACTTTTCAGTTCTCGGAAAATGTCCATAGGTTTTCTTCCCACCTTAAATAATGAAATGACGGTCGCACTTAATTCTTTTGTTCCCTCCATTACGAGAAAATTTAAATAAAATAATCCGAAATCATAGATATTAAAAGTTAACATTCCAAATTCAAAATTAGAAAAAGAAATATACAGCAGCCAGTAATTTTTATTTTATTTTTATAAGCAAAAAGTTTGTCTCAAAACTTATGAACACACGAGGTACACAATCTCGTACAAAATTCATAGAAAACTGTCGTTTTTGACAGTTCGAAGAAAGCATTAAATTTGACTAGATGTCAATACAGTGTTTTTAACTATAGAATAAAATTGACATTTAACAATTTTTAGTATGGAAGAATTGTCAAATATTCAAAGTTATTCCTCAGTTAAAATTTATCTGGCGTTGGTTAAATCAATTCGTAGACTGTAGACATAACAAAAATAGTGCATCATACTTTGTCGTCTCGCCTACCTCTTATTGGGGTAGGTAGAAACAACAGAACGCCTGACATAATACATAGTCCATTCCAATCATCATGCACGAATGGATCAAGGGCCTAGGCCTTTAGCCAAACACCACTTTAGCGCTTGTCTACAGAGAGAGTAGAAATCAAAATGTATGGGGATAATGATGACACTGACAAGTGTCAAAATTTACGTCAATTCCGTATAATTTGGTTTTCTATTCTACATGTAGACAAGAGCTAAATGGCATTTGGCTACAGCTGCTGATACAGAAAGCATTCCTCCAAGAAACGGCACGTATCGTGAGGAGGTTTCCGTCTCTGGAGCCCTAACCACCGGTAGCTTGGACCATGCTCCCGCTACTAGTCGGCTCTTATTTTTAAATATATTTTTTTATTTTGTAAGTAGTATTTAAAAATGTAATTTTAGAGGATTTTAAATGAATATATGGAATAATAATGTTTTTGATCAGATTGACAGCGGTGTGCGTTGAAGAGAGAATGGCTGAGCTAAAGCAGATGTTACACGCACAGGGACCTCTCATACACGACAACAATCTTCATCCACATCCACCTAGTGAGTACTGACCTTAAATATAGGCTTTTTATTTAATAATAGACACAAATTCATTTTTTACCACCTTTACCCTTCCTGCGGGCCTCGTCAGCAGACTAATAGACCACATACTTAAAAGATATCAGGCAGCAGTACCATAGTCGTGATGGCCAGGAGGTATAAGACGCTCACTTCTCATGCATGAGGGTGTGGGTTCGAAACCTACCAACAACAAGTGCCAATGTGACTTTTTCCGAGTTATATGTACTTTCTAAGATTATTTAAACACCACTGACAAAGTGAAGGAAAAGATCGTGAGGAAACCTGGACTTATAATTTATTATTATACATTTGAAAACGTCGCGGAGAACCTAACGGGTAACCGGGGCTCCGGCTCGACGTGCAGGAGAAGGAACGGGGTGGTTTTTAGTCAGTAAGAGTCTGACACTCCCGCCTCACCCAGGCGGGAGCTATAAATTCAATGATTTTCCGCATTAAAAAAAAATACGTTTGAAAACGCCAACCCGCATTGAGCAAGCGTGGTGATTAATACTCAAACCTTCTCCGTGTAAGGCCTTTGGTCAGTAGTGGCCGCTTATAGGCTGTTGATGATGTATTGCATGCATTTATACTGTAAGCTCCAACTCGTCGAGGTTGGAGATGGTGACTTTACATTGCTAATTATAGTACTAAATGTTAATATTACTTCACAGCGGACTCCAACGTGCCCTCACCACCAGAAATGGACAAGAATTCAAACTGTACATCCACCCAAAATATAGACGTCCATACACCTCTTCTATACCCCCAGCCGCATATAGGCCGTAATGCGTGCATAGAACGCAACACACATACGAATACACAGTCCACTACCGTTGAACTTATACACAAATCCTTAAAAGATATTACTGCACCCATAGAGACCCTGAGAGTCCCCAACGTAGAGGAGAATTGTCTCTCAGTAGCCAGAATCTCTAGTCACCCAAGAATTTCTCTACTCGAAAACTCCGCTCTATCAGAAGTAAGATCCTACCAAAGACCCCTAGATTACGTCCAAAATGACGTCACAGTCAACGAAGATAGAGGCCCCAAGCAAACAAACCTACTCCAAGACGTTAAGGTCGAAAAACCCAAATGGGGCTTCAAAAAATTCTTCGAAAAACTCAATAGAAATAAAATGGAAACTGAAGTGAAATTGGCGGAGAATTCGCAAAGGACTTTGACCTCTATTGTCGATAAGCCTTCCAATAACGATATTAGACCATCAAATCTTTCTATTACTCAAGATCGCAGTCCATATAACTTTGAGGGACCTTGCACCTTATCGCCTCCTAATAGGACTCTTTCTCCAACAATGATGATGGATTCAGAGAACAAAGTGTTTGGTTTCAAAGAGCTTCCTAACAGAGACGCTGAAGCCAGAACACCGAACCAAATCTTCGCTGTAATAGTACCGAAAGCTAAACCACCAGATTTCATCGAAATGAAGAACAAAGGTAGCTCTGAAAGCCTGAAACGTTCAGTAAAAACTTCTCTATCATCTCAAAGCATTTTAAAATCAAATTCCGAGTCTGAAGACTCGACTGTTAAAAAAAGATTGAGTTGCGAAAATAGAAACGGTAGTGGGAGTTCTTCGAGAGCATCTATTAACTTAGAACTACAGTACATTGATACCCAAGACTCCTTCAACGGTCCTATAAGCCCTTTCGATATAAACTCAGACTGTTCTAGCAGCGAAGATGAACATTTAATGCTTCTATCTGAAAACGGGGGCTCAAAAATCACCATGCAAACGATACCAAAACAAGAAGTTAAAAAGAATGACGTTTTGAAGGAATCTAGTCAAGTGACAGATTTCACGTTTAATAAATTTCAAAATAAATATACTAATTTTGACAATGAGTATAGTGATCCGAATGACAAAGAAAATGCGGTTAACGGATTCAGTGGTGACAATCCGGTTTACTTCGCAGCTTTAAATGGGGAAATAGATTCTTCTGAATTAAAACTTCAAGGGAATCGGTCACCGAAGCCAACTTTGAAGAACTTGGCGATTAAGAGGCAGCACTCTTTAGAGCAGGTGAGTGAGATATTCTCTTCTGCAGGTGATGTGAACCTCCTGAACCCGGCAGGAAGGGTCAAAACTCCTGGGGATCTCCCCGTAGCTGTTAGAAAGGCAAGAAGAGATAGAGCTTTGCAGAAGGGAAGAGCGAGTGAATGCAATAGATTGAGTTTATACGATGATCGAATGATGTTTGGTAATAGTTTGTAGTTCAGTCTTTGCTAGATATATGTATAATTTGTTGCTAGCAGAGCCCAGCTCACATCGGCGGAGGCGCGGCGAAAATACTGAGAATACATCAATTTCAAATATACTTTAACTACTAAGGCACACGGATGAGAACTGCATGCTAAAGAAGCTTGACGACGCACCGCGCGGTCCCACTAAAATCTATCTTTGGTATGCCATTGTCAGCCCTGTACCACAGTAGTTAAGATTTATTTTAAATGTATTATTTCTCTGTATCTTCACAGCGCCTCCGCCAGTGTGTGCTGGGCCAAAATGTTCTATATGCTCCTCCTATTTGAGTTGAAAATATATTGTTGATAGTCATTGAACAGATGTGTCATTTCCATAAGCATTTATTTATATGTAATAGAAGTACTTAGTAGTAAACAGACATAGAAACAAACAGATTTGTTATATATTAATTTAATAAAGCAACTTAAGAACGGTTACCTCACATTGGAATTAAGAAATATCTATAAAGGAAAATGTTAAAATGGTCTAATGGATATTGTTGGTTTAAATGATATACCTTAAAAACCGGCTAGTTGATCACAGCTATACCATTTCAATATTTAAAACTCTCAGACATAAATCATGTTTAAAATTATGCCTTCAGTTAAAAAAATAAACCAACAATTTCCCAATACACTGTATATTAAAAACAAACAATTCCGCTTCTCTTTCTACATATATTATTGATTCAAATAAATAATCGAAATAACATTTTCAAATCGATTTTGAATTCGAACGAATAAAATTTTTATAAATTTGCAAAATTTTCAATACATTTCGTCTTAATATTTGAAAGTTTTTGCCAAATTATTCATGTTTGCATGCTAATTATTCTTATTCTTATAACTTACCCACGTTCCTGAAATGAAGGGTTATGAGTTTTGCGTGCCTAGAAACTAATAAATCCTAAAAGCAGTTTACTTAAATGAGTTTTTCAAACAAAGTTTGTCTTTGAAAGTCAATATCTAAGCATTTAATTCAAATAAACCTATTAAATTATTTGTATTGTAACTTTCGTGAGACATACTAAATAAATTACTATGTTTTCGACTTACTCACGTAATAATTTGACGAGGAACTAGTGGCAGCGCGACAGTCGCCGCGTCGCGGGTCGCGAAATGCTGCTCATAAATATGAGCCTCTAGCATGGCTTGAAACTAGTCGAGCTCCTCGTCAAATTATTACCTGAGTTAGCCGAAAACATAATAATTTATCTATTAAATTATTCTTTATTGATCTGCTTTTTCAAAAAGTAATTAAAATAGTACGGCTTAAAACTAGCCCAGCACCATCTATGTATCGCAAAACCGATACCACTCATTTTGGTTGATTGTCATTATCTCTGTATATTATAAATGGATTTTGATAATAAGATAATTATTATATTTAAGCGTACCATTTCAATGCAGTTATTTATAAGTTATGTTTATTTTCATAATTTATTCGTAAACTAATCATTAAACTTGTCATAGTTATATGATTATATATATGCATATGCTTGGTCTATATGCAAGTAAAACGTCAGTGTTAACATTATGTATGTGCATTGTTCACTTCTGCCTTCTTTGGTGATTAGAAGACACAATGTTATACAGCATGTTATGTATCAGATTTTCGATACTTAACATGAAATGTAACATAATATGTATCGGATTCCCGATACTCGACATAAAATGAAGGCGAAGTGTTGAAAATTCAATTCCTTACATTAAAAAAAATTGATAAACCCTATAACTGTGATGGGTTTTAGTTTATGAATAAATTTTGTTTGTAGTTTATATTATTTTGAACGTAGTTTTAAGTTCCTATTGATAAACAAACAAACAGCCATGTTTTTTATTTGTTTTTTTTTATTGTTAAGTTTTTATTGGGAATTCTTGTGTCTACTTTGTTTTGGGGTATTAAAAATGTTCAATAAGATATTGCCAAGCAGGTATCTTGGATTCGATTCCCTAATCGGGAAAAATACTATGGAGGTTTTTTCTACCTATATACCTTTTTTGGTATATAGGTTTGATTTGGTATATTTGTTTCCAGTGCACCTACATAAATAAAAATATAAAATTGAAATAGAGCAGTTTTCCCTCCTAAAAACGAAGTAGAGACACTTCCCATTACATTGAGTAACGTTTTGTTTTGTTATAAAAGAACTCTTTTTTTAAGTTTATACATTACAAATGTAATATAGCCAGTTTTCACCAACCCCCTCCTAAATTTTAAGGGACCCCTAAGCTAAGATAGGTGAGATTTAACGAAATTTTAGTTTTCACCAACCTATAAAGTGACATAAGTAAGGGGTTAGTTTTAAGTGCTACGTCACGTTAAGTAACTTTTAGTTAGGGGACGATTTAAACGTGGTTGGCGAAAACTGCTGTGTTTTTTTAATCTTACTTTACTTAGCTTTAAATGGTTTTGTAAATATTTCCCCTTGTGTCGTGATTCTGATATTATTGTATTAAGTATTAATTATTAATAATTGATATTGGATTTTTATATCTGTGGCGGTTTTTTGCTAATAGGACGTATCTAGTTTTTATTAGTCAAAGTGTTATTTAAAATATATTTGGCGACTCATTGTATCGACACAAGTTTTAAACTGAACGCTCCGAAAATGCATAATATTTTTTTGTTTGTACAATTGGGTAGTTTCCAGGGTACCAAAATTAAAAATCTAATTAGTCCGTCAGTTAGATAATGAAAAAATATTAGACACGTATTTTTTTGTTTTCTCGTATTAAGTTGCAATACTTAGATAAAATGGGGCTGAGTTTAGGAGTGGGAGGTCGTTACGTTATAACGCTACATAATGTGGCACGCTGTGACGTCACACGATATTTCAAATTAATATATCGTCGAAAGTATTTAATTTTGTGAGAAAAGAAAAAATACGTGTCTAAAGTTTTAAATTAATGTACCAGACGGACATTAAAATAAAATTTAAGAAACTACCATATTGTATTAGTTTTTATTTATTTATTTTATGCACAACACACAGAAACAGGAGAATACATATACAAATAAATTGGAGGGACATAGGTACTACGTATTCCCGTAGGAATATCTTCCTGCAGTCCTTCGATAGGATAAACTAGTTTTAGTGTTATTCTTGGAACATCAGCCTTGAGCGGTTGATTACAACTTGTATAATGAAGGTAACTTCTTATTATTAACTTATTATTCTGCCTTACCCTTAGTATAATAAAGGCATTGACTAGTTTATTTTTTTAAAACGTAACTAGCTGTGTCCGTGACTTCGTTCCCGTGGAATAATGGTTTACTGCGCTTACCCTGTAGGTCAAAGTCAAAGTTATTTATTGCAAACATAGGTAATAAGTACATAATAGAGGATGAAGCATACATAATGATAGTGCGCTATGTTTCTCCTGTCGGCATGCAATTAAGAAAATGGAAGATTACAGCGTGATAATATGTAGCCTATATGTTGACCTGACCTGTTAGTAATAATCATACAAAATTTGAAGGAAATCCATGCAGTACTTTTTGAGATCATCCCGGACATACATACAGACAAACAGACAAAAATTTTAAAAACCATATTTTTGGCTTCAGTATCGACTGTAGATCACGCTCCAAGTATTATTTAAAAAAAATATTTAATGTACAGTTTTGACTTTTCAACGATTTTATCACAATGTATAGATGAGAAAAATATATATGAATTATTTTTGATAACACTTTGACTGATATAATCACGGAATATAGAATACAATGGAAGTAGCAAGTAGGCGTAGCACGCGTGCCACAATTAAGCTGTGCACTGCTTACTCGAGGCAAATTCGAGTTCAGTCTCGTTCGAACATGGCGTCGAGTTGCTAGTCTCGTGTCAAATACATATTTCCTCAACTATGCCGTTTTGTTCCGTTTTGGCGTGTAAAAATAATAGCAGCCGAAAAATCGTAAAAATGGAGGTGTTCCGTATCATCGGTAAGTACAATTTTTATTGTTTTCTTGTAGAAATCTTATTTTATTTCAATTTACAAAAACAGTTATTAAAATAATATTATTTACTAAAACGGTTAGTCAAAATCAACCTTACGCCTTCAAGATAAAGTTTATTTTGGATTTATTCCATTCAATAGAACATTCTCGCCAGTTCTACGCTACTCAAATAGTGATGTAGTCAAATCACATATTGAATTTATCGATTGATATCGATGCAAGTGTAATGTAACATTTATTTAGATTATTTTTTTATTATTATTTTAGTGGTGACCCCGACGTGATTGGAAGCAACCTTCACTTCACGGAGCAGATCAGCACCGTCATCCTTATCGCCATCCCTCTCATTTATCACATTATCCATATAAAGTTTGTAAAAATTTATGTAATAGTTGTTACTTATATTGCCTATGTGAAATAAAAAAAATGATTTTTTGAAAAAAGAAACTAATAAAAAATACGAACAAAATGGTTTTTGATTTACATGTAAATAAATACTTACCCTTTTTTGTTACGTTTAAAAAGTTATCAACGACATATTAATTTTATTATTTTAATACTGTCACACTATAGCAGTCAATATTTTTTTTCATATTATTTTTAAAACACATTTTCATATTATCGATATTATTTTTATCGAATTAGGCTACATCACTATCTGAGTAGAGACCCGCATTCGAGCCAGTGATAAGCCATTCAAATATCACCTTTATTCTTACAACGTTAAAGTTCAAACCAAGTACCACTTTTCGCCGCTAGATGGCATTGTTAAACGCCATCTAGCGACGAATGGCGGTACTTGGTAGTCCAAAATATACTTTTTTATTTTGATTTATAGTGCATTGGTTTTAAAGTTGCATATCGTATGATATTTTTTTTGCATTTCGTTTACGGCCATTTTTTTTTCTAACCAATCGTAATTTCCGATTTATAGTATGAGTAAATTATGAATGTATTAGTTTGGCGACACCGGTTCTGGCAGAAATATTGTTTCAAGCTACTTCCATTGTATTCTATATTCCGTGGATATAATTTACTAGAAATTCAATGAAACCTATAAGTACATCTCTGATATATCTTGACTTTTCTAAATTTAATCGATTACTATCGATAATCCATAGATACAGTAGGTACAATTGTCGAGTAGCAAGCGCGATTTGAGTTGATCTCAATATCTTCTTATTTATATCGTTGCGGGATCCATATTGTTCATGTCCCTGGGACGCGCCGGACTTCAGTGTTCCGGTGTTTTCATGGTTGTATCTACTGTAGATCCTAGCTTGCAGGAATTGCAGCGATTTTGGGAGATTATGGAGGGCTTGTCCTAATAAAAAAAATGTAAGACAGGTCAAAATATATCATTGTATGTAAACATATTCATTCCATATTAAATACATAAATTGCAATATATAATATATGATGTACTTACTATACAGATAAATACAATACCTATATATGTATGTATATATGCAACCATGTTCAAAACTATTTAAATTATCGTGATTTTATTCTAGATTGATATTAAACGTTTGGTAAAATGGTCTTGATGGTATTTTTAAGATGTTTTTGGTTTTCGACTATGGCTTACTATTATTTGTAAATATTTCCGAATCGATAAGACTAGGGAAAGCAAATTTCGCAAAATTGGGGCTCAAGTGAGACTTTAATTAGATTATAAAATACAATCTTCCGAAATTTCACTAATATCACTAAATCTTTAGTAAAGCAATTTCGAACTAGATTAATCCCCTTAAAATGGTCAAGATCTTGCGAATGGCAATTGCATTCCCTAGACATTGCATTCGGCCCTTTGAGAAAAGAGCATACTCCTTTTTTAAGGTCAGTGACGCACTAATACCTCCGCTGATGTTGCGAGTGTCTATGAGTGAAGCCGATCGCTTATCAGCTGGTGATTCGTCTGCTCGTTTGCACACAAAGAAACTGTAATAAAAATATTTAATGTAATCGTAGTCGGAAACCAAACAGAAATTGTATCGAAATCACGATAAATTATGAAAATAATAGAAATCGAACTTTAAACTTTGTCAACA